CTGATATTGTGGCCAAGAGGACGGCGGGTAAAAGGACCAGTCGGACGAAGGTCTGTGTCCCCGTGATTATCTCCATGTCGAAAGGATTCTCTCGGTCGCGTTTTTCTCACTTCTGGAACTCGACCTAAAGGATCATTGGTTCGAAACACTTCTAAGTACACCTACGTGAGGTTTGCGGCGGCGCACACTACGTGGCCTAGTAAGGGATAAGTTTTTGTTGCTGTTGTTTTGATTTTCCTCAAAAATGACACAATTGGACCTTTGAGCTATTGGTGCACACTCGATGTTCCAACTGCAGCTTAGCCCAAGACACGAGTCACAGCGTCTGATACAGCAGGAAAGAAATACATTGCCATGTTCATCAATTACCTCCAGGTAGTTCGTACAACTTCACTCTCTTCAAAGGAAAAGAAAACAAAAGAAAAAGAAGTCAGTTACAAGTATCAGACGTCAGGACAGATGCATGGGAAGTGACTCAGCCCTCGACAAAACAAAGCACTTTCACAGGCAAGGACAGGAGCCCAACGAGCGAGCCGCGGAGCCAGAACGCGAGTGCGGGCGGCGTGCGAGCAAGCGAACGACGAGGCGAGGTCGGAGCGAGCGAGAGAGGTAACCTCACCCTGCCAGCGTTCAGCGGTTACTGGCTTCTGCAGCACGTGGACTCCTTCAAATACCAAGGTGTTGCCGTGTCAATCCCCTAACCCGCGAAATATCACCTGAAAATCGCCGAATTCCCTCCGTATCCGAACCTTTTTTCGTTCGCGCGGCTATGAGATTCGCACTCTCCTTCCCCTCCCTCCTTCTCTCCCTCTTTCTACCTCTATCCCATCTCTCTATTCGATGATTTGATAGCGTGTTTTATTGCCGTGTCGTGTCGTTGGTGAGAGTATGAAACAGAGGGAAGTCATTTCCCCGTGACCCCGGCGAGTGCGCATGCGCCGCGGGATCCAAAGGTTGCCGATCATTTTGCTTCCCTTATTTTGTGAGACGTTTGAAGCATCGCTGTAATGCGAGAACGAGAGGAAAAAAGAAGTGAAAATTTTCCATAATAACTGCGTTTGTTTTCAGAAAATAGTTCGAGTTATAGCTCTTGTTTTATCAACAGTTGCTATCAGTTAGGGTGTTATTCATCACTTTTTATCTCTTTTTTCCTTTTTTTTCTTTTCTTTTGGCTAGCAGTCGAACATAAAGATGTCGGATTTCAAGTTTATGAAGTGTTACTGCCAAAATCACAGACTGAGTTACCTATAACTACAGTACACTACAGTTTGCAGTAGATGCATTTGCAGTAAATATATGTGTGAGTGTGTATATATACACACACACATATATATATATATATATATATATATATATATATATATATATATATATATATGTATGTGTGTATATATATATATATGTATATATATATACATATATATATATATATATATATATATATATATATATATATATATATATATATATATACATGTATGTATATGTGTATATTTATTTATATATATATATATATATATATATATATATATATATATATATATATACATATATATATATATATATATATATATATATATATATATATATATATATATATATATACATGTATGTATATGTGTATATTTATATATATATATATATATATATATATATATATATATATATATATATATATATATATATAAACGCATGCTATGCATGTGTTTGTGTGTCTGTGTAAATGGTTATATATTCGTCTGATGAGGAAATCTTAGCGAGTTCGAAATGATATGATTTAATTTCATTTTTTATTGTGATTGTTATCTTTTTTCATCTATATCTATTTATTTATTTCTCTCTCTCTCTCTCTCTCTCTCTCTCTCTCTCTCTCTATATATATATATATATATATATATATATATATATATATATATATATATATATATATATATATATATATATATATATATATATATATATATATATATATATAGGTATCTATGTATGTATAAAAAAATATAGAAATAGAAAGATAATTGTATATATCTATATCTTTATATAAATATATATGTTTGTGCGTGTGTGTGTGTGTATGTGTGCGTGTGTGTGTGTGTGTGTGTGTGTGTGTGTGTGTGTGTGTGTGTATGCGTGTGTGTTTATGTGTGTGTGTGTGTATACACATATATACATATGTTTGTATATATGTATATATATATATATATATATATATATATATATATATATATATATATATATGCATATATATATACATATATACATATATATATACATATTTATATATATATATATATATATATATACATATATACACATATGTTATATATATGTGTATATATATACACATATTATATATATATATACATATATATATATATATATATATATATATATATATATATATATATATATATATATATATATGAATAGACAGATACAAATATGTGTGCGTGTGTGAGACGTAGTGTTCAAATAAACTTTAAATTATAAATATCTTGAGTTTCAGTCGTTCTCAGGGGATAGCTTTTGTTCGTCCGTACTCAGTTTGGTTTCATTTGATGTCTTGAGTCGCCATCTTGATAATTCGACATATAATACAAATCTTATTGTGATGCTTGAGTTATGCATATAACTTGGCGCGTGTTTTTGCTGGCAATGTGTAAAAACAGAGAAGAGCCATACGCTGTACGAACATTGTGTAGAGGGCGTGTACATCTACAAATTTGATGTTGTTTTATACACATACATGGATATACACATGTATCTGCACACATATACACACACACACACATCCTCGTGTACAGCATAAATGTATGAATATTACGTACATTATCTCAGTAAGTACCATGCATGTTATTCAAATTTTTCTTTATTTTTACAAAAATCTTGGCTTATAGAAAACACGAGATTAATTCTGGGTTTTATCACTATTTGCGAGAGAATAAGTTTACTTTTTTCAGTTTGAAAGCTCAGAGAAACGTTAAAAAAATACAATAGATGTTCTTTGCTTTGACCTCACTGTATACATAATCTTCAGTTTCATTTACAATACAAATGCATTTAGGTAACCCAAAACGATCAGTAAAAATATAACGCACCCATTACACCAGAAGAACAGCGAAAGACTACAGGATTGAAAACCCACAATGTGGTAGGTTAAAATGGCTTATGAACTCGGCAGTAAATAAATGAAAAAAATACATTTTCCAAGTATACCTAGTTTGCAATGTGTATTCAGTTGATTTCAATACATTTTCAAATATGGAATTTATCGGAGACATCAAAAAATAAAATTTGCTTCCTCCATGCTCCACACCACGCTGCACATACATACATATACATAAATGCCCATACAAACACACAGATGGACACTGAAACACACATTTATATACATGTATATATATATATATATATATATATATATATATATATATATATATATATATATATATGCACACACATGTATACATACGCACACACACATAAACACATGTACACATACACACACACATATATATATGTGTGTGTATGTGTGTATGCCAAAAATAAGCGAAGCAAATATTTCTTAAGACGTAAAAACCGACTCTCTCTGCATCCGTGGTTGAAGCAGCACCTTCAACCCAATAACCTAACCTGCAATTCACACGTGCATAACAAATCGTGCAGTTTTGGGTAGAAGTGCGAGCCATTAACATCCAGACAAAACATGTGTGATTGCAACCCGTCTGCCGACCATAAATACAGCTGTTATGTTCGGCTGTAGCGACCAACTTGGGCAAACAATCGTTAAGTCGTTGTTTCAAACTTGCTGGGAATTTCGAGTAGATCATGCTGGCAATAACACACAAATGTCATAAACCTTTTTGAGTTTTCTTCCATGAAATAATGGATTTCTGTATGTCTCCTGATATTTAGAATAATGGCGGTGATTAAAATGATTTCTATGTTAATAATGATGATGATGATGATGATGATAATAATAGTAATAATAATAATAACAATATCAATAATAACAAGCAATAACAACAGTAAAACAATAATGATAATTAAAGTCACAAAAAAGGATGAAAATATGAATGATAATAATACAATAAAGATAGTAGTAATAATATCATTAAAGATAAAAATAATAATTAAAATTAATTATTAGTTATCATTATTATCTTTACCATTACTGTTATTATTATTACCATTACCATTATTAACATTGATTCTATCATCATCCTTATCATTATTACTATTTTACTATTGTCATTATCATCAGTTGCTATTATTATCATTATATTTTTTATAGTCGGTTCAATTTCAAGAAAGGAAAGACTTCAACTCACCCGAGTTCTGACCTTCTACGATTTGCAAAGTCACGCTTCAGAAATGATAATAATGTGCTGTTGAAGGAACAAATTCCAATAAAAAGTAATAAAGCATGTTATATATAAGTTTTGAAATTCCTGACACATTTAAGCTTAGAGTTCTTAGAGTGATTTGAATGAATAAATGACTGCGGAGAAGGTAAAAGATTTTGGTGAGTTGCCGGATTTTCTTTATCTGGTGGTAGTAGTACTGGAATTATCTTTATCATCGCCTTCATTATCATTATCATTGTTCATATCATTTTTATTTCTCATTAACCGTATTAGTATTATCAGTAGCATTAGTAGTAGATGTATGATCAATATAATTGTTATTAATAGTACTATTCTGTTCAGCATTAGTATTATTTTCACCATCATGGTTATCGTTATTTCATTGTTATTACTGCTACTGTTGCTGTTAGCATTTTAACATTATAGTGATCATAATGATTACATGATATTCTATATAGTACTTAAATTTAAGGTTATGCTGCAAATCATGTTACATTTTTTTTTTTTTTTATAAGTGATGAATGAGGTAACTGGATTATCTTTTGAAGTAACATTGTAGAAAGAGAAATAGTTAATGATACCCATTAACTTGATTTCTTCTTTTGTTTGTAAGATGCGTTAGGATTCTGCAATTGAACGAGTCGCGCACGCAACGGAGCCTTTCTTTTTTTCACACTAAATCTTTGATCCTACGAATTCAAGTGGAAACTGATGTGCGCTCATTACTTATGGATACATCATTTATAATTATGCAGTCTTCACGGAGGTCTGGAAATATTAGAAATGTGAGAACGAAACACATTCTAAGGATTTCATTGTCCGTGTATCAAATATAAATCTCAGGCTCATGCTCTTTATTTAGACTTCATGTATTAATATATCACCAAATATACTGACATTATGATTATGACTACTCTCTGGTAAGATGTTAACGTGATAACAAATTTGTGAAAAAAGTGAATGCGTTGAAAAGCGGATTGCAAATGCCTCTTGGGCACGATGTATCGTTATACAATTATTTTCATGTGTTTATTTTATGTATTTTAATTCTATGGACTGTTGGAATTACATTAACATTTACCCATTTTGCTTGAGAAATAGTAATTTTATATACATTTCAGAAACGATTAATTTGGTAATAACGTTGATGATCAAATGATATCTGATATTCAATGTGTGTGTTGTTATATAAATTGGTTATTGTATTTGATAATAAAATGATACTTGATATTGGCTCTTTATACTGCGCAATAT